TTATTTATTTTTTTGCTTAAATTCTTTTATTGGTATATTTTAGGTATACAATATGTTTACATTTATCATTGGGTGCTTCTACCTGTACATGATGTATCTTTGTTCTTATTTTTTCCCCATTACCTGTGCACCCTTCACCCCCTCCACCCTTCCCTATTTACATAGACTTTGTTTCCATTTTTTTCTTTTCGCATAATCTTTCCTTTCCCTTCTTTCCTTTCCCCTGCCCCTCCCACCACCCCTACTCTTTTGGACCTTTTTTTCCTATTTCGAATTATCAATTATTCGTTTTAATCCTTACAAGTGCCCATTCTTATGCAGGGAGAAAGGAGCCTCATCTGGCTGAACGCGGACAATCTGGCCAGTTGGCAGGATCTTTTCATGAAGGTGAAAGTGTGACATTATATTCACTGGGTTTGGTCCTAATTTCATGCATCCCAAGCCACTTTCTGATTCTGAGTTGGTCTCTTCTGTGTGCAAGGTGGCTGTTCACTGAGGGGCCTCTGTGCACAAAGTCCTTATGAGATGTACTCTTCTTGCAGCTGGGAAAGGAAGCTTTCTGAGTCTCATGAAATGTTACAGCGATATGAAGTAAAAAGGCCAGAAATTGGAGTGCATTTTTATAAGTAGTAAATCAAATAATGTGAGGAAAGTTGTTCATACTCAGCTCTATGTCCTTGCCTTCTGAGAAGGGTTGGGGATGTATGAGGTGCTTGGACATGTGTTGGTAGCATGAGATAAGTGGGAAAAGACAGAATTATTTAACAAATGCTGGTGGGATAATAGGTAAAATATTTTCCCTACATTAAAATAAATAACATGGTTTAAAGAGTTAATTTAAAAAATAGAGAAGCTCAAAGAAATACTCAAATGTTGGTAGTACCTCTGAAGAGACAATTTTGCAAGTTTAGAAGGACAAGAAGAACTCACAAGAGAAAAAGCAATCTGACTATGCAAATATTAAAAACTTATGTTAACAAAATACTATAATAACTACCAGAATTAAAAGTCAAACAACATGGGAAATGTTTGCAGAAAATGTGAAGCCAAATGCCTGATACATTTATTATGTGAAATACTTGTACAAATTGATAAGAGATACATTATAATTCCAAAAGCATAAACAGACAAGTCATAAAAAGGAAATTAAATCTAGTAAATAAACATATGGAAAATATTTGACTGAGATGGTAATCAAAGACATTTAAACCAGTAACTTTCTGAAATCACTGTTTTATTATATTTTTCCAAATTTATGTTAGCAAAAAAATTATAACATTTTGTTTTTATAAAACCCAGTGCTGGTAAGGATGTTGTAAAAATAGTATGCTCATATTTTGTTGGTGATATTTTATAAATTAATACCTCTTTTTTGAAAAACGTTTGGCAGTACAATATCATGGGCCATAAAAATGTTTATGGCCTTTGACCCAGTAATTTGACTTCTGGGAATTTATCCTGAGAAAGATGAATCCAAAATATGGAAAAAATTAAAGGCCTAAAATAAACCGGGAAACACGAATGGCCTCACAATAGGGAAATGGTTAATATGTCGTGCTACTGTGATTGGAGAAAAAAACCACAGCCATTAGCAATTTACAGGCACAGACAACTGCAGACAAATGGAAAGATTCTTGTCCTTTAATGTAAATGAATACAGAATAAAAATCTGTGCATAAAAAGACATACAGAAAAGTGTACTCAATACATCAAATTCTAAGTGACAAGCTAGTGACCTTTCTTTCTTCTCCTGCCTCTACCTTACCCCTCCCTCTCTTCCTCCTTCCCTTTCTCCTTCTTCTCTTCCTCTTCCTCCTCCTCCTCTCCTCCTCCTCTCTCTCTCTCTCTCTCTCTCTCTCTCTCTCTCTCTCTCTCTCTCCCTCTCTCCCTCTCTCATTAAACCCAGAGGCATTCAACATCCTCAGGTCTTTTTAGATTTTATTTTCAGATAGGGTCTTGTTAAATGGCCCAAGGTGGCTTGAACTTTTGATCCTCCTGCTTCAGGCTCCCAGGTATCTAGGAATACAGTAGCATGCCAAAATGCTTGGCTCCTTACCATTTTTCTCATAATATTCTTTCAGTCGGTTGTACTCGGGTTGCAATTGCCTCCCTACCTGTCCCCATCCCTCACCCAGCTCTAGGGCCAGCTTCCAGCATCCCACCCACCTGTATCAGTGCCATACAAGTTCCAATCAGCCAAGAAGCCCTCCCTCCCATCCCAACAGCCAAAAGACATCTCTCCTATTCCATGACCCTGGACTGTTAAAGCTGTCTTAACATTTCTATTACAGCATGGATACAATATGCCTTGTTTGTAAATGGTATATGTACAGAATGTGTTTGTTCCTGCAGCTGAATTTCTAAACCCCTAGAGGGCAGGAACTGTTTCATTTATTTTTCTGTCCCTGCAGCGTGAAGCACAGTGCTTTGCCTGTATGGTGTGAGTGCCGGACTGAATATGAGGTGAAATGAATTTACCTGCACTGCAGTGAATGTACTTTTGATTTCCTGGCAGGTGGAGCACATGAAGGTCTGCAGCACTTGGGTCCTTTTGGCAACATCCCCAACATTGTGGCAGAGTTGACTGGCGACAACATTCCTAAGGACTTCAGCGAGGATCAGGGTTACCCTGACCCTCCAAATCCCTGTCCTGTTGGCAAAACAGGTAATGGACAGCCTGTGGGTCATCATGGACAGTAGAGGCTTTAGGGGAAAATGGAAATTCTAACATGGACTACAATGCACTCTCTCTCTATTTTCACTTATGGTGAGGTCTCCTCTGTTTCCTATGGGGTGCAGAGCTCCCTCTTAAGATGGAACAGCAACCAGAGTAGCTAATATGGGGCTGCTGGCCCAGGATGGCAGGAAAAGCTGAGTCACTGCTTGGCTTCAATCACTTCAGCCACATTTTACTTGCTTGTAGGTTGGATGGGTAGGAAAAAAAAAACAGTTCCGAGTTTGGGGAACAGCAGTCTCCATGGGGGTATGGTTAGGTTGGTTAGAATAGTGTAGTGCCACAGTACCCAAAGTGAGATCCCTGCATCAGCCTTAGCCAAATCTTAATAGCAATGGAAAGCTTCAGACCTTTTGCCAAGCTCACTGAATCTGAGACAGCAATCCATGTAATCAGCCCTCCAAGTGATTCTGGTGCATGCCAAAGTTTGAGACCTGCTGTTGTAAGAGATGGAAAGAGACCTAGAATTTGAACCAAAAGATCTGAGTTCTACTGTTAACTACAACATATCCTTTCACTTCCTTGGGTCTTTGTCTCCTCATCTGTCAAAGGACTGACATAGTACCTTAAAGAAACAGTGTACTTCTAGGCTACAATGAAAGAAAAAAGAATGTCATAGAGTTAGTTTTGTGCTCCTAGCACTCTGAGAGGCAAGCAGTCCACATGAGCTGATGCAGGTACAGAAAATCCCAGCTCTGCTTGCATATTATCTGCCATCCCTTTCTACATTTCCACTAAGGTAACATATTTCACATTACTTGTTCTACCACAGTTGGTGAACTATAAAGGAAAATAACTTGCAAAATTTAGCCATTATTTGTATGAAGTTGCTTGAGAAGAAGACCTGATTCACGGAGAATCCTCTGTGACCCAGGGCAGAGACTTCCTTTGGCCCCAGGGTTAGGATATGAACTCTAGAGCACATCTGTAGACTCAGATCTTCGAGTTCCAGAGCAGTGTTTTATCTCAATGTCTGTCTTGACCCCCTCAGAGGTACCTGAGAAACTGTTATGAAAAGGTTACAGATGGCCATGTGCAGGCTGGCTGCTGGAACCTCTGTCCAGTATACCTTTCCTACATGTTGATCGCTTTAGATGAAGAAAGTAGACATAGCTCAGTGGAAAGTGGGGAACCATCTTCAAGTGACTTTGGGGATTTGTTCAGAATGCTAAGGACTCCCACATTAGCTTCAAGTTGCTAGGAGCGGAGAGACTGCATGCTTATGGCTGCTGGAAGCCTCTAGTTCAGTCCCAAGAGCAACACAACTTGACTAATTTTAAATAGATTCCCTTTCAGTATTGACTTCCAAGCATCATTATCCCTTTAAAAAGTGACCCTCTTCCCACTCCAAAGCCTTGCACAAAATTTGCCATCCTTTCCCTATCTGACTCTCCCTTTTTTTGTGGTACTGGGGATCAGACCAAGGGGTAATCTATCACTGATCATTGAGCTCTGGTCTGACTCCAAAGAGAAAGCCGTTACTACTACAACACATAACATCAAGCACTGAGGATTACTGTTCTTATTGTATAATATGGTTCCTCAAAGGTGCTGAAGTGTTTTCTAAAGAGCTTACCCAGGACAAAACAGAAATGATGTGGAATGGAAGTATATTAGTTAAGAAAATAATTTCTGTTGTAAGAGATAAAATATTTTAGTGGCTCAACAGAAAAAAAATTTCTCACTTGTGTGTGAAGCCCTGCCCTGGCTGGGTGAGGGGCAGGAAGGTGGATGGCTCAGCACCTTAAACTCTCCTACACTGATAGTCACCTGGCCCTGGGTGGCATCATGCAGCATGCAGACAGCAGGTGATGGTGATGGGTAGAGAACAGAGCATCCATTGTAGGAGGTTCTCATGGGCCAGGCCTAGAAGTGGAATACATCGTATCTGCCCACATTCTGTTGGCCCGAACTTAGGTGTATGACTCTACCTGATCACAAAGCAAGGTGGGAAAATTAGCCTAGTTGTGTGCCAAGGAGGAAAAGGAAGTGGGTTTAGCAGACAGCCAACAAGTCAGGTCTCTGCTACAAGAGTGGGAGCTGCGATAAGCAGTCCTATCAGACAGGGAGACAGGGGACAGGGACTCAGAGGGGCTGATAGGAATACACTCTGCCTTTTGTATGTCTTGATGTTTTTGATGAATTAACTCTTGGAATAACAATCAGTGCCTTGGCCATTCCTCAAAACCTTTGGCTGTTTGCAGCAGATGATGGATGCCTAGAAAACACCCCTGACACAGCGGAGTTCAGTCGAGAATTCCAGTTGCACCAGCACCTTTTTGATCCAGAACATGACTACCCAGGCTTGGGAAAGTGGGTAAGTGACACACAGCTGCTAGTAGGCTTGCATGTGGTTCTCTGAAGGCATGGATGGCAGAGATGAGCACTGTGGGTGGAGGGAGAGAAGAAAAAATATTTAGAAGCTCAGTTTTCAAGAAATATCCAGTTGAGAGGGACTTTAAATGACTATCATCCCAAACCACACTCATGGGTCTAGCAGCAGTACCAAATCCATCCAAAGAAAGCATAGCCTAAATGGATAACATCCGTCTCCAGTCTCCAGAGGCTTCAACTCTGGACTACCCCACAGCCTGTGTCATGATGCATTCTCACATTTCACCAGTTCTTCAGGCGCCCATAGGATTTTATCAAAGTGATTTTTAAGAAAAGGAAAATGAGAAAACTTGAGGATTTGATCTTTGGACTTTTGGATTTGATCTCCCTTTAGATTAATGGAGAATCAAGAAAAAACTATCTCAAAGATTAGAAACAGACATATAATTCTGCTTCATGGAAAGAGAAAATGTTTCTACATGTGAAGCCGTGAGCTTGTTGTCAGTCGAAGGCAAGTGTGTACAGCTGTCAGTTAGGGAGTTGTTTATAAGGACTGGGAAAGAGAAATGGCCATTTGGCATTGGTGTGCTAAAAACAAATCTTGTCAACCTAGTTGTGTTCTTTGACTAGCCAGCAGTATTCATTTACTTGCAAGCTTGATGAGGGAATGAAATGAGCATGGTGCGTTTGGACGTCAGTAACATTTTTGACAAGATCTTTTAGGACCTCCTATTGGGAGAAGTAGAGCAATCCAGCCCAGGCAACAGAATATCACCAAAAGGGAGCTTGTTAAAGAATCCATGTCAGTAGGGAGGGAGACTTTACACCGTGTCCTACATGTCTTAGCACCACCCCACTCCATATGTTTATCAATCCTTACAATAAAGATGTGGAACATATACTTATCAGATTCTCAGAGGATGAGACAAAGTTGGAAGGGTAACATTGGATGACAGAGTTGACATTCAAGAAGATTCCAGCAGGCTGGAACAGTGAGCCAAACAAGATGAAAACTGAATGCGGATATGTCTAGGGCCCTGTGGTAAGGCCTAAATAATTAAATGTGGGAGCCATGTGAAAAAGTGGGGACTCCCTCCCTTCTTTCCTTCTGTACTGTTTCAGGGAAAATGTGAGGGAGAACTGGTTTGTGGAGCCCCTTTCAATCCTACTAGCAGAGTTTAACACAGTGAATTAAAAAGAAAAATGCCTATAGTTTTTGGAATAGAGACTGTAATTGTGAAAGATTTCTGTACAAGTTATCCTAATGGCATATCAAAAAATGAAATAAAAGGAGAAGGAGCTATGGACAGGAAGAAAATATGGCAATTGTTATGATGGCTATAATTATAGTGAAGAAAATAAGAATCCATGAAATTTCAAGGGAGGGAGCCTAACTAGAATTATCTGACATAAATGTAGTGAAAGGAAGAAAGAAGAGAGATTCTAGGTCTATATAAAATAGATGATAAATAATTAACTTTTCCTCTGAAAGCATTTTAAAAAGAGAGGAGAAGAAGACAGGGAGAAAAAAGGGAAGGAAAGGAACAGAGAGAGGGAGGGAGAGACCAGAAGATCACAGAGGAGCACTGGGAGGGATCTCAAGAGATGGGCAAAGTATTGCCAAAGTACTGAAGCAAGGAGCAAATAGAAGATATCGAGCCTGTTCAACAAGGTGCAAAGGAAAATGGAAGCTATTGAGGCTGCTTTGGTCCGGGTATGGTGCTGTGCACTCAGTATGCCATATTCATCAAGACATGGTACTGCTCTTCCAAGAGCTGACAGTCTTGTGTTTGGGATAAATGGCATGAGAATCTTCTCAGCTTCTGGTTCTAGCTATACTGCAAGAGCCAGGTGCAGTTGCTGGGAACGACGAAAGCCAAGGGGGAAGGGAAACCCAGGGCTGGGGACCATGGTACCTCATTGGTACAGTGGCTGCCAAGGAAGTCAAAGCACCAATAAGGGCAGCCCCAAGGCTCAGGTGGGAATGTATCCAGTTTAACTAGAGGCTGGACACGAGAAAACATCCAAGTGAGGGCAGAGAGCCCACATGGTGTTGTGGAATCAGGGAGATAGAAACTTCTCCCTTTCCAAATTTTCTGACCTCTTTGTGAAAACTTTTACAGATTTCTCTCACCAAGATCCACTCACTCTCAGCATTCCAGTTAGGCCCATCCACTATCCTTCTCTTTCTGTGTTTCCTTTTCAAAATAATGACTTGAATTTCTCTCGGTCATTCCCATTTTTTGTCTAATCAGAGCAAACAATTAGAATTAAGAACCATATGAAAAAGACAGTCACAGATCAATGATCAGAACAATTTTTACACACCTTTTATCATCAATTATGTGCTTGTTTAAATTTGTTTCCTTGTTTATTTTCTCATTACCACCTAGTAGTGAAACATATTTGCTTGGTCTTCACATAGGAGTGTGAATTGAGTGTGTCTCATTATTCTAAGCTGGGATCCGCAAACCTTCCTCTGAGTTTATATAGAATGATAATCTCAAACTTGTCTTCAACTCAACCGTTCTTTAAGTTAACAAGTAATTAATCATCTTTCACAATAGAACCCCACATAAATCCCTGTTTCCTTATTTCCTGGTAATGCTTCTCTGTTTCTGATGTTAGCCAGAGTTTAGCTGCATCTTTAGCAGTGATTCACATGTCATAAATATAAGTATCTGTCATGTTTCCTGCATGTCTCCCTCTTTGTTCATGTATCAAGACATATTTATTAAATGCACATCATATGCCTTCTAGGCTTTGTGTTAGGTAATGGGAATAGGCCAAGAAAGAATAATTGTATTACAGAATGCAGTAGTAAATAGTAGTGTTTTTTAAGCATGCACTATGTGTATGATACTATGCTAAATACCCTACCCCAACTATCTAATTCAGTTTGCCCATCCTCATCACTCTTATTTTATTTATTTATATTTATTTATTTATTTTTGGTACCAGGGATCGAACTCAGGACCTTGTGCTTGCGAAGCAGGCGGTGGAACCACTGAGCTAAATCCCCGGCCCCACTCTCATTTTATAGATGAGAAAATGCAGGTTTTGGGAGCTGAGTGCCTACTCAGCAACATAGGGTGCTGATTGGCAGAGCAGGCAATTGAACCCAATCATCTGACTTCGGAGTTCTTTGAAAATTGAATAAATTACCTTTTCATGGCTCATTACTCATAATGTGTTCGTGTAGTAGTCCTCTCAAAAGCTGTCTCAAATGGCAAAAGCTTCTCTTTTCCAAAGGCTTTGCCCACCTTTTCATCAATAGCTGATCATATCCAGATTCTGAACCTTAGGAGAAATGGCGGACAGGACCCTTTTCTTACATTCTTTGTCTTTCATGACCTCAACAAGTCTGAAGTCTACTGTTTGAGTTTGTCCTAAGCTTCTTTGTGATTAAACTTAAGTTATACTTTGAAAAGTTGCTTTTAGTTGATACATAATAATTGTCCATATTTATGGGGTATAATGTGACATTTTAATCTTCACATACAATGTGTAATGATCAGATTAGGGTAATTAACATATCTATAGTATTTAATATTGATCATTTCTTTGTGTTGGGAACATTCAAAAAAATCTTCTCTGTCACATGTTTTGAAATATACAACTAATTGTTGTCAAACATGGCTAAGCTTCTGCATACTTACGCCTTTTTGATATTTTTTCTTAGTACTTTATACTAAGCACGTATTAGTTTTCCTGTGATTGGTGGCGTTAAATTTGTTCCTTTTATTAAAGTCGTGTCCACTGCATTTCTCCAGTGTAGGGTCATCATTTCTTCATTGAAATTAATAGTTTATCTGTAGGAAAATACTTTGAGACTGCACAGATATTCTGTTCCCTGTTAAACTTTTAACCAACACATTTAGCATCCTTAGATGATGTTTACCAGAACCAATTATAACTAGAATAGTTGCAAAATGGTGATTTTTTTTCTCACCCTCCTATTCTTTCTGAAAGTTTTCCCTGGTTATCCCTGCCTCCCACTTCTTAGTCATGCATCTATAAATGTGCTTATTTATTTGGTATCAGTCTGGATTCATGAATTCTTGTTATTATTAATTTTGACATTCATACCGTCCTAATTTGGCCAGTTGGAGTCCCTTCAGACTGCCTTTTCTTTCCCTCTGACATGACTCCGTCACTTTTGATCACTTTCCTTACTTTCCAGTGAGATATTCCAACTTCATTCATCCTTATACTTTTCCTGCCCTAGCCCTAGAATCAGATATTTCTCCAAGAAGCCCCCACTCCTCCCACCCTAGTTCCTAAATGGAATGGAATTTGAAACCCGGAACTGGGCGGGTGTCCAAAATCTTGATGGCACAATGGGAAGCCCTCATCATGAATTTAAACCTGCTACTCTCATGGAAAGCAGGCTCGCTGTTCCCCTGGGAATCACCAATGAATGAGTGGGTATCAGAAGAAATGATTGGTTTCTCCTCATTTATTTTGTATATTTTAAACCCACACTATACCTGCCAACCCCTGTGTTTAAATCCAGACAGTAACAGGGCTAATGAAGAATGCCCAGCCACTTTGCTGCAGGGGTGAGGAAGCATTGATCTGCTTATCCTAATCCTAGCTCTCAGGGTAATGCCAGGACCATCCTTGAGAGGAAGACTTGCCAGACCTTCTGTATTTCTTTTTGAATGAAGGCTTTTATGGATGTAATCTGCTTCTCAATCTAGAAGGGATTAAAATGCTTCTGCCTTCACCCTGCTGGTGGCCCAGTAGAAACCGTGACAGGAGTGGTTGGCAGTCTACCCCATGGCACCAGCTCCCAGGGCCCTCAGCACTCTGCCAGCTCAGGCAACTGGACAGGACTGTGCATAGGAAGGGTCACTGTTCTCGCCCTCCTCCTGCACAGCCTCCCTTCCCTGGCTCCGACACCAATGCGCAGAGCATCCTCTGTGCACCAGACACTGTTTATATTCACAGACTGAAGGGAACAAGTCCGGCAACAGTATCCCCACGCCTGCCTTGTCTCCCTTGCAATATTCACTGGAGCTGTTTGTTCCTCAGCCGAGCAGTAGGAAAGCCATGGCCAGCTTGGACAGTGAGGCCCCTTCCCACCTGGCATAGCCTCCCTGCAGAGTTGAGGTCAGGTGAGGGATAAGTGTGGCAAATTGCAGGTGTGGTAGATTTTAAGGGCTGTGAAAATGATGATGCTCACTTTTGGTACTTGGCACTTTAACTTTCACACCTACAATTACGGAAGAAAAAAAAACCACTTTTATAACCAATGGCTCAGAGATGCCAGTGCTATATAAGCTTGTTCCTCATCAGAACTGTCATTTTTTTTTAAGTCAATATCAATATATTTTCTTTAGAGGACATTGACTCACCTCTTTTATACATTATTTCCCTTCTGATTAAAAAGAACAAATAAATAAAGCAACACAAGTGAAATACCCAATTCTGCCTCAGGTTAAGCATTCTGTCTCTTATCATCTCAGTATATGGGAAATGTGTTGAGCATGTGTCTGATATTCTGAGCTCATTTAAGTCGTGTGCTTGAAACGCAGCAATATGTGGAAACACTTATACAAACTGTGGTAACAGAGCCCTTTTACTCCCCCTTGCCTTTCTGCCAAGAAGTTTTTTGGCAGTTTTTAAAAGGTTTATTCTATTAAAAATGTTATAGACCAAATGGTTTTCCGATTGTCTTGACTGGGGGCACTGAATTAAGCCACAGAAGAGAGGGGCGCAGAAGTTGTAGGGTCTTGTTTATTTACACAGAAGATGGTTGTTAATAGTTAGACACTGCTTTGGAGAACAGTTTATGTGTACTGTTCATAAAAAGGGAGTTCAATAGTGAGATAAAATTGTTCATTTTAAGCAAAGGCTGTTCAAAATGAGGAGATGGGTTTCCAGCTCCCTTGTGTTTTATAAAATGCCATATTTTGCTATTTATGTGATTGTTGATGACACTGTGTGCCTCAGGGCCCTGCAGAGGGCTTTATGAAAGCTGCACTTGTGGTCTATCTTTCTGACATGACATTCCTTTCATCTAGCTTTGTTTCCAAAATATGTGTATGCAAATATCCAAGAGACACACCAAGCATTGCTTCTAAAACAGACGTTCACCAAATTTGATCCATACTTCTGCTTATGTGTTTTCTTTTCTCCCCACTGTAGAATAAGAAACTCCTGTATGAGAAGATGAAGGGAGGACAGAGGCGGAAGCGCAGGGTAACGTGCACTGGCTGGGCTGTTGTGGGGAGACCTGTTTGTGTAGCGCGGCATTTGACAAGTGGGAGCCCTCAGCTGTTGGAAAGCAGCAGGATCCTGTCCCATGCAACGCTGAGGGCTGAACAGAGGTCCTGTGTGACCAGGGCCACACCTAAAACGTCTGCTCTTGACTTCTAGGATAACTTCCCCACGTGTTAGCACGTCATATTCAGTGGAATGGTCAGTTTTGTGGCGATTCCATCCTTCCTTCCAGTCAGAGGATGTGTACTGATCCCCCAACTTGGGTGGGAGATCTAGGGAGTACATGAAGGTAGGTCTTCCTTCAGAGGGCCCGCAGGCCATGGACAAAACCACTGGCACATCTGCATCAATTACATAAAAACACAAGACAGTAGTCAAGAAGTGTCAAACTGCATGCTCCAAGCCATCATTGTACCAGGAACACGGGAGCAAAAAAATGAGGCAAATAAACCTCATTTCTCCTACATCTCTTTCCTCTTGGCTCAGCCAGACTGATGTGAAATTTCCTTGATCTGTCATATTTGTTTGCAAACTGCTGGGTTGATTGAATTAGTTGCTAATTATCCTCAGGGTGTCCAGGTGGGACCTTCATCTGAGTGCTCTGTATTTAGCTACTACATATATAGTGTCACCTCATATAAAGCGGAACGCCAAATTTGCTTTGGGCTTCTAATGCATTTTATGGAATTGAGACTTAATAAGTGATCAATGTCTATTCTGCTAATCCTCTGGCATCTTATAGACAGAAAGGCCTGGACATTTGCCTTTTTTACTGACCAGATTGGAGGGGATGGAAGAGAAGGAATACTCATTATTACACAGTAAATTACTATAAGAATACTATTCAGAATAGTAAGTAATTGAATCCTGGCAAAATTTGAGAATCTGGACAGCAGTAACTGTGATCATTTTGAATAGTTTTACCAAATTTAGAGAGGGCTATAAGAGGTGTGGATTTCAGGCTTCAACATGAATCGTCTGGCCGCTGTGCTGCCCAACAGTACACTGAAGACCCTCAGCCAGTTTCTTCTATTTATTTATTTATTTATTTATCTATCTATTTATTTATTTTTGGCACTGGGGATCGAACTCGGGTCCTTGCACTTGCGCAGCAGGTGGCGAAACCACTGAGCTAAATCCCTGGCCCCAAGTACTTGTTCTTTTTTTTTTTTTTTTGGTACCAGGGATCGAACTCAGGTTCTTGTGCTTGCGCAGCAGGCGGGGAAACCACTGAGCTAAATCCCTGGCCCCACAGCCAGTTTCTTATGAGAGAAGCAGAGAGTTGTTACGTCTGGAAACAGATCTAGTTTGGGAGAGTTAACAGGATTATTAGGGGGTTTTGTTGGTGGTTGCAGCTTTCAGTGGCAGATGGTGACAGGAAAAGTGTAATGTGTTTTTGAGAGAACATCAAGAAATTCTATTCTAGGAACTCAAAATACATATAATTTACCAGGAAGATGGCTTATATATCTCCCCAAGGGACAAAGGGGACATTTCCAAATAAGACCATTGACTGACCCCAAGTGAATAACTCAGCATGCAGTTTTGTCTTTACTTCCTGGCCCACCATTCCTTGGGTCCTGACCCTGAATGACAGTGGGTCACAAGCGAGGTCGCTTTTCCATGAGACCCATGATTACCAAAACTCAGAATTCTGGCTAAGACACATATTACAAAGGACTTTACTTTGGCCTCAACTTCCTCCACATAGGAAAGGCTTAGAATTTAGGAAAATAAAGGTCACATTGACCCAAAGATATCAAATTCTTCCTATTCTCAGGCATCTATAAAGACCCATTTTCACACCATAAGGCACAAGACTCAGAACTATTGAGAAAACAGAAGTTGCCTCCTCCAGCACCAGATGGGTGTCCCCATCTTGATCAAAAACTTTAGCCACCTCCTCAAGGGCATGAATCAATATAAAGAAATCATGGGCTTGATTTTTTGAAAAATCAAGGCATCCCTCAGTGAGGCTAATCATCTGCTGAGGGTTTCTAGGAGACACCAAAGCAAGGATCCATTCTCAGGGGTTCTTCCAATTGTGAAAAGGGAATAATGTTCTCCGTGTAAGCTAACTAGTCCTCACCTGAGTGTGAAGACAAAAATATAAGTGCCTTGCACTCTTTAGAATGCAATGAAAACCTAGGCTCCTTATTATTACTACTCTTAAGTGTTGGATTCAATCCTGACAGTTAAGCATTTATCCAAAAAATTCAAGTGACTGCTTCTTTTCCCCCCTATTAATTTTCTTCCCTTTAGGACTTTGCCCCATGATATTTGATATTCGATAATCATGAGCATCTCATATTCATTTAATATAATAGAAATTTTAGAATGCTATCACTAAATAGAAAAAATATTTATGCTATTGAAAATACTTTTTCAGTCCACATTTGTTCTGGCTACCCAGATCCCCCAGGATAGGCCAGACCACTCTAAGTGACAATACCCAATAGAAAAAATTTTGTTTTGAATGTTTTGGAAATGATATGCTACTTTTATAGCTGAGAGCCTTGCTCACTTTGTAATTCTCACCTTATTTGAGATGGATTTCTGCAGAGTGAGCTGTGTCTTTAATAATTCATGCTTTTAGCAGTCAGAATGTGGAAAGACATTTAAACACCAAGCTCAGCCTCTACTCTTTCTCTTTTGGAGAATTCTGCTAACCTTTCTAAGGAACCATGGCAGGTCAGTCCCATGGGCAAGAGAGACTTACCTGTGAACGAGCTGCCTCCTTCTGTTCGTGGGGTCTTGGCACACAATGGCATTGCTGGTCATCTGTAACTGCAGCCTCTTTTTCATATTTTTGTTCCATTACTGGAAGTCAACTTAAATAAACAAATATCTTCCAAATCTTTTGAATTTTTTTCTGCTTGCTAAACACTATGTTGTAAAGCTTCAATTACTAGCTCAAATCCAAACCTCAAAAAATAGATAGGTATTAGAGAAGGAATGGAAAAACTCTGAGTCATTTGGAATATCACAAATAAGACATTTATGGAGTCTTGAACAAAAACGAAGTAGACTTCCAGAATTATCTTTTTCTTCACCTTTTGAATTTGACTTAGGGAGGGTGCAAATGATCACTTGTGCCTTCCTTAATGAATATCTTTAGTGTTTTCTTGCATGGAAGAATCAGTCACAGCCACAGGATGACTGGGACCAATTCTCAGATTCTAATTCTCATTTGGCCCTGCTCTGTCACCTATTTCAGAACACTCTTTTTGTAAAATAATTTAATGTTCTTCAGATTTCTTCTCCTATCTGAATAGGGACATAGAATAACAATTCTCTTTCCTGTGGAGCATGGTATCTAAGTTATTAGCAAGAGCTTAGTTTAGCTGGTTTACCCCAAATTTTCATGCCCCAAATAATAATTTTTTAAAAGCCATATTGCATTTGATAAAGAACTCTATGGTTTTATGAAAGACACAATTGTTGACTTGTATTCATAAGTCTCTGAAGTATTAATTAGTGCACCAGGTAATCTTTTGGCGGGTGGCATGTAACACTGTTACCTTGTCATTAACCCAACAAGTAAGAAACAATTCCCTTTCACTTCTTTTGTGAGATATCTGTTTCTGATGTTCACATATAACACCAAACCATCATTTTTTCAGAGTGTCAATCCGTACCTACAAGGACAGAGGCTGGACAATGTTGTCGCAAAGAAGTCTGTCCCCCATTTTTCAGATGAGGACAAGGACCCAGAGTAAAGAGAAGATACTGGGTGGAAACTCATGGCCCTCACTGTTAATGTGCATGTGTCACTAAAGCCCCTGAGAATGGCAGCATGTTTCTGATGTAGTTAATTATGGATGAAAAGCAGCTGCATTCACATTGTCCTTCACACTGATGGCTCAGCTTTCTGCTAAGTTTAAATAGGAGTTCTTTTTGTTTTTATTTTTTCTGCAATGAACATTAACATTAAAATGTATATGTCAAGTAAAATAAAAAACAAAGCTAGGAAATGCTCAGATTTCTTGCAGTTTAAATGGTGTTTAGGGCTGTGATGCTTTGACCAAGTCTGCAAAAAAGCTGGCATTTGATTTTGATTATACAGTGCATCTAGCCCCCGGGCCCTGTTACACACCAATAAAGAAGTCTGTGCTCTCGGGAAGGACCTGACACATCTCTCTTGGCTGTATCTTAGTAAATGTTTATGCAAGCATTGGCGTGTGAATGTGGTTTGTTTTGGAACATTATAGAAAACAATTTCCTTATTTATTAGAACAACCTGACATACATGTTCTTATCTGATCTTAATAGGAAGGCTATGAAGTAAATAGGGCAAGTATTATCCTAATTCTACAGATGGTAGAACTGAGAATGATCAACACACTATTGGGTATAATCAGCAAAACTCAAATGGGAAGACTTTACAGGGCAGATGACCTAGCTTTTTTAATGAAACTGGTGGTTTGGGGTAAGGGAATATTTTAGATTTTAAAGGACTTAAGGGACATAAAAGACATGAAAGAAATAAATGTGTGATGGTCATCTTTGCATCCTGACTCAAATCAATTTTTTAAAAAATTGACTGGTTAATTGGAGAGGTCTGAGCAGTGCCATTTAGTTGTTGCATGGTATTACGATATTTTTAGGATCCCTTATCTCTTAGGGATAAATATTGAATGATGTATAGATTAAAATGATATGATATTTTAGATTTTCTTTGAAATAATCCAGTGATAGTGTTAGGGGTGGGTGTAGAGACAAATCCAGCTTGGCCATGAATTCAGAGCTAGAGAACCTGAGTCATGTGTACTTACTTGGGCATTCATTTTACTTCTACCTCAGTGTTCATATATATTTGAAAATTTCTACACTTGAACCACATTTAAGGGTTAAAATTAATGGTAGATTACAGTAAACATTGGCTTGGAAATAGCAGTGTAGGACAAGGTAGAAAGCTTTCTGAATGATGCTATGGAAAATGTGAGGAAGCAAAAAGGAAGATGAATGAAGATACTTTTCCTGGGGCATCATGGAAGTAACAGGGAGGCTTACGGAAGAGGAAATCTGGCTGGGGGTTTGGTGAACTGGATAGCAGGTGCAGAGTAGCTGGGAGGAACAGGGATTTTTGTGGCAAAAGGAAGAAATCATGGAGGCAGTACAGATGAGGGGCCTCCATCCAAGAGCCGTGTCATCTGGCCAGAGTCCCGGCCACATCCACAGCAGAGGCACACGGATTTTCCTGTGGGTTGGGAAGGGTCTCCTGTCTCAGACTATCAATCTTTCCACAATGGTCCGGTCAAGGATCTTTGAAACCAGGAAAGTGGTTGAAGCCACCCCAGGGACATCTGGAGAACAAAAGAAGAGCACATTTGACACATTAGCCAAAATTTAAGGCCCACAGTGTTAGTACCATCAGCCATTACTCCTGACTGAACTCCTACTGTGCAACCAGCCCACTGGAGGCCCCAGGAAAGAAGAATTACACTGCATGAGGATACTCATATTCCCAGAGGAGTTTATAATGGGGCCATTCTACAAGAGAAGGTCTTCTCTTTGTGCTGCTAGGAGACAAAACCAACAGGTTGTTTAGTGTTTTTGGCAGAATATGTGTGAAACTATTCTTTACTCCTACTGCCTACTAAATAAGTCACCAGTCTGAGTTTTCTAGGGATGGCTGTTCAAAATGTGTTTGTCTAAACAATGAAGAACATTTCAGGATCCAACTGAGAGTCCTAAATAGACCAATGCTCAACTGAAAGTGTTTTTACCAGGCATTTGGGGGTCTGTCTGGGTTGGATAGCTACCTGGAGGAGATGGGACCTTAGAAAACTGGAGTCATGTACTTGATTTACACACAATGACTGCCAAACAAAGAGAAGGAACTGTGACCACCCACTCTGCACTTCCCAACCTTCTGCAACAGAATCTCTTCCTTCTCTGTTTACCTGGCTAGGGACAAAGGGTAACATAAATGTATATTACTCCTCATCTTGTTGTGGCAAGGCAGAGCAGCTCAGTGCTATACCCATAAGTTGTAGCTCTGAGGCACAGCCAAGTGTTACAGTGTTACAATTTGAAGACTCAAGAATCCTATAGTCACTCGAAGGGGTGGAGAAAAACCTTACTATGCCTCAGGCTCAGAGGAGTTCATACTCGAAGTCTGAGCACTCTACCAGAAACGAGAGCCTCCTTAAACAGGGATCTACAGGGTAGGCAAGTATGCTCACTGAAGCAGAGGGGCAGAGTTACAGAACATTCTCACAAGGGGGCGGAGCTTAACAGCATATTTGTGAGGGGGCGGAGCTTAACAAAACATTCTTGTGAGGGGCAGAGCCTACCAACATTCTTGTAAGGGGGTGGAGTTTAATAGAACATTCGTGAAAGGTCACATGGTTCAAACAGTCACAAAATGTTTTGATACATTGGGCAGGAGCACTGCCCAGCAGCACAAACTTACATTTCTGGAGCGAAAGATTTTGTGGAAAAAAACAAAACAAAACATGGAAGCAAGACAAGGGCCTGTCTTATTGTATAGTATTGCTTTATGAATCTTCCCTTTGAATGCTTTCAGAGATAAAAGTTTTCCTGAGACATCCCATGGTTACTAGCCGTGGCCACAGGCATATGGTCTGGAAAGAAAAATCTCTGGGTCCTCTCTATCTGCTACAGAATCACATAGTGATTACTAAGGTGCCATACCTTGGCCCAGAAAAATGGGTACATTTATTTAAAATAGCAAATGCCAGTTAGATTGCCAGTTATAAAAACTCAGTCTTCCTGGAAAGACTATGAGGGCAGGAGACGGATGGAGGTAGTGCACAGTCAGTCACTATACCTACTGTTGTGCAGGCAGTCATGCACAGGAGAGAAAGTGACAGAACAGTAGGGGTGTAGGTTGAGAACGACTTCTGGGCATTCTTTATGAAATGAGTTATAGAAAATACTGATCCAGTTATGTATCTGTGTGCATTGGTGGGGGGCACTACGAAAAGATAAAGGAAAAGTGGCAGTGGAACTTATTGATAAAGTCAATGAAGTATACTAAAGCAATCCCATGCCCACATTTTGGAGATGCCAATACAGATCAGTTGGAATGGCAAATAACTATGTAGGGGGCTGGGGATGCTGGCCTAATGGGATTGGGGAGGGTACTGCAGTAGCTCCCGTTTAGATCCTAGCCAACTCCATACATGTGAAAGCTCCCAACTCTGGACTCTGGTAATATCATTATATTTTCAGAATTTAAATTGTAACAAAACAAAATAGATTTTACCTATTCTCTGACACCCAAGAACACCTTATTTGTTTAGCCAAACCTCACCTGGAGTCCTTTCTAGCCTTGATGTCTGAGCCAGTGAATATGCTGTTAAAGGGCAAAAAGACAACGCATCAGAGCATTTGAACTGCAAAGGCATCTAGTGGGCTATTGGGGTCCCAGTACTGTGCAATTAATGTGAGCACTCCAGGTACTCAGAGTGAAATACAGCAACAGCTGTTCTTATGTTTCCAACAACTTTTCATGCACATACCTGACTTAGCAGCAGGTAGTCCAAGAATCTCTTTAGGGCCCTTTCAACATTGTCTAAGAATCCCAAGGTTGTTCATCAATCTGAAGTGGAATGTGAAATTAAAGCACCCTCACTCCACAGTCACAGTTGTTTCTAGAATAAAGTCTAGGTTTAAATGGAGCTGCTCCAATTATGTGCCACCTCATCACTGTCTAATCCTGTCCTCTCGCCAAAGACTGGTGATTGCTTTTAAAAGCCAAATGAAAGCTAACAACGTATACACTTATACACTTTTCACAGGATAGTAAGCTCTTACCATGCTACAGTTATATAATCAGAAGGAGCCTGTGGTTCTTCCTCCAAGTGTATTATACATTTAGTCTCTGGTCCCCAAGGTTACACACTCACCCTGCACACACAGAGGAGGCTGTCATTTAACATAGCCTTTCACTGGGCCCTCAGGTTAATTTCTTTTTTAAAAATTTCTAACATGTTTACAGTACATAATGATTACATTCATTGTGGGAAATTGGCAAAAGTACATAACATATCTCAATTTTTTCTCCTTCCCCTCCACCCACATTAAAATTTTTTTTTTGCTTCTTTTTGATCAGCATCAGATTCATTCACTTATTTTATAAGTCCTTATCAAGTTAATTATCATAAACACAGACTAATGGCCAAACAGGCCAAAAAACACATAAGACACTCCCTGGAAGACGGAGCAATAAGCAACAACAAATCAACCTCTCCAAAATTTAGAATCCAGACGCTGGAAAATAACAACTTGGGGAAGAAAAGAAAAAGGGAGATGGATTCCTGGGATCCAAGAAATATCTGAAGGGAAAACTGGAGCCCACAAAAACAGTGAAGAGACAGACCACAATGCAGAAAAAGGAAGGAGCAATCTGAACTTTCTTCCTAGCTCCCAGAGATGAGAGGAAGAGCAAAACTAGAGACTCCCGAGGCCTTCAGGGAGAAAAGCACCAGTGAAATGGAGCAGTGGACACTGTGTGCTGCAACAACTGGTGAGTGACTCCAGTCCAAGCAACTGCCATATCCCCTCGAGAGAGTGCTCGGTCAGATGTCATTTTAGGGAGGGCCACCTGAACCCAGGACTCAGAGTAGTCATGGGTTGGCTTCAACTTAAGGGTCCCAGTATTAAATTTCCACAGTGACTGGGTGAAGGACAAGCACAGGAGATGTCTGGGGTCGGAGAGCCATGGTCAGACCAGCAAGCCCCCAATCCCATGACCAGAGGACAGGATCAGCTCTAACTGCCATGGATTTGAAAGTACCAGAACCAGTGCCCTGCCCCAATCCTACTGCAGGCTTGTTGGTGATCATCCGCCATGAATCTGGGATCTGGCTGCCTCCTTTGTCTACCAGGGAGAGCAGCATCACACCTTGAATTGGACATCACCACAAAACTATAGACCCTAGAAGATAGCCACAGGCTTGAAGTCACGGAGAAATTTCTTTCTTTCTTTTTTTTTCTTCTCTTTGCATTTTTTTTCTGTTTTTTTCCAGTTATCATATATATTTATTGGTTATCAACAGTGCAAGTTTATGCTCCAAAGAAATATAACAATCCACTAAAATGATTACATTTAATTTTCTCTTAAAGGCAGATGAACTAAATTTAAGAAGTGGCTCATCTTGGTATTTCATTTTAAAATTACTGATACATAGTTACCAGAGAAAT